CCCGCTGAAGTCTGTAGCAACTCGTTCTGAATCGCATCTTGAACGCATGCAAAACAGGTTGCCAATCGAGCCATCTCCCGGTTGAAGGTGCGTCCTACAAGACTGTTTACCAATATTTTCCATCTGGTCCAAAGCAAGATTGTTCGAACATGTGTTCTACACGTTGGCAAATACTGCTTCTTCGACTCGTCGAGGAGCACTGGTCTTGGATACGAGTTTCGTCAAAAACGTTCATGGATCAGACGTGCTCGGCCCTAACCCAACTGACAGAGGGCGCAATGGCTCTAAAGTGTCTCTTCTGACAGACATCAAAGAAACACCTCTTTGCGCTGTGTTGCATAACGCAGACAAAAACGATGCATTAACGCTCAAACACACTTTGGATACGTTTAAACGCAAAGTGCCCAAACATGCTAATTGTTCGTCACTTCTTGCCGATAAAGGGCATGATGCGTCTTATTGCCGAACCGTTTGTGAACAACATAACTCGACACCTTGCATACCTAAACGTCGCGCGCCAGATTTCTTCCTGGAAGATATGTTGTCGAACAAACCTTTGGCCTATTAGATCAATTCCGCAGGATCCGTGTCTGTTATGAAACATTGGCGAGAAACTTTAAATCGATGCATTTCATTGCCCTGTCAGTTATGATTGCACGAAGGCTCTGAAAGATAATCCTTTTGCATCTGAAAGACTGACTGATGATGGATTCGGAAGTCTGCTACACTGAAAATGCGCAGGTTCGTTGATGGAGGACGACAGTGGAGATCGGCTCTAGCATAAATGAACCGAAGCGCCCCTGGATCTCCAAAAATTGGAAGAAAGAAGCGTTCTGGCCCGTGGAGCCAAAAACGAATTTCAGTAAAATCTATACCGTCCTCGCTGAATGCTCGCGATAAAGCACTCGTCCAGAAAAAACATTTCGAATGCGAGAAAGGCATATGTCCGTGGCAAATACATTGATAGGGTGCCCGTCTCATATAAATCAAGAGAATTTCCTTACATCCGCCAAGCTGAGAAACTTTATGGTAAATCTGCCGAGAAGCTGTTGGTAAAAGTGCCACTCTGCTGGCCAGATTTGCAGGATGAAATCCTTGCGAAAGGTCGAGGCGCATATTATTCGTCTGGATCTCGACCGAACCAAACCAGCGGCAAATCAGCGGCGGCCCGGCTGCAAACATCGATTAAAAAAATATTTTGAAGCATTGCAAGAAAAACAGCTTGCCAGTTCAAAAATTGAATCAAAGACTGAAAACAACCCAAAAAAAACGGAATTTCACAGCCACAATAACATCAACGCACTGCAGTTGCGACGTTGGCTCATTTGATTCCGCGCAGCTTGATAGATCGAAGGCTTTGATATCTGACGACGCGTAACAGGTGTCAGAGCGGTATGCTCAGGTGCGTATGGTGGTTTACTACGTTGACTCATTTTCTCTGTTTTGCCTCGGGTCCACCACGAACTGTAAAACTAGATGTTCCGATCGATGCTGTATCGCCAGAAGTTGCAGAACAAAGGTTGGGAAGTTGCGCATACCATGCAGCCTTAGAAGCAACTCGCTCCAAACTGCTCCTCCGTTGCGGACATTGCGCGGAGGCTCTTCGCGGATTGTATAATCCGACGGATGCTCTTCCCAGTGGGTTGTTTCCACTGTGTCCGGGATGGTCCCAAACCTGGAATCATGCTCGAATTCGAATTGCAGGATTTGATGGGGAAAGCATTTCTAACGCGTTGGATGCGGTTCAAAAGCATGGAATTCTTTTAGAGCAAGTCTTCCCAACGAAGAGATTTTCACGACCATCCGCATTTGCAGCAGCCACCCGTCCATCGCCGGCGCGAGATTTACACGTCGCGATCAATGAAATCAAAACGGAACTAGCACTTTTTCAAGCAGTACCGCCGCTTCGTTCTATTCGTCCTCCTGAAGACAATTGGGGCTTTTCGCGAGTCACGAAATGGGGCGACGCACGAATTGAGACGCTGCAAGCGTTGCGCTCTCAAGGTCCTTTCATAGTCAGCATTGATCTTTGTGATGTTGAAAACTGGTTCACACGATTAGGAAAATCGGATTGGCAGTGCCCTTCGCGCAGTCGAAGGGCAGAAAGTGATTCTATTTTCATCAGTCCCGAAGGGATTCTCCTGCCAGCTCTTATGAAAGATCAAGATGATAGGTTCGGGCGCGCAGGAACTTCGGCGGGGTGCATCGAAGGCAACCGAGTGAGTCATGCGATGGTAATTGCCGGCTGGGAACGTCGGGATGTAGATCAACTGCAGCACTGGATCATTCGGAACAGCTGGGATAAAAAATGGGGTCAG